GCCCCCCCAAACTGTTAGCAGTTGCATGGGGGCATCCCATGCTGAGACACAGCCAGCGGGCGCAGCTGGCGTTTGCTCTGCCCTTTGCCTTCCTCAGATCCCGCGAGTGCCACTCTGCAGACTCGCCCCACTAATGCGCTCACTCCTCGCGCTGGTGTGCAGTTGGGTTGTCTCCTCTTGGCCCTTGGGCATGGGGTCATCTTCCAGCTGGTGGCTTCGCCCTCTCTACCCTGACCCAGGCTTGGGGCTCTCCCTGCCTGGATGCTGCGATCGCTGGAGGACGAGGGTGCAGGCAGATGCCCCGAGACTGCTGTTTTATTTACAAATCCTTTTCTGGGTTATCCCAGCAGTTCTTGTGATTAATTCCAGGATGTGCCACCCTGCCTGCCCGGCTGGGGCTGCGCTGAGTGTTGTGATTTGGGTTGCAGGAGGCAGAGCCAAGACAGTGCCACAGCAGAGCTCTGTGAGCCCCAGCCCCGCACCTGCTGCCTCACTGGGTCCCCCCACCCATGTCCTGTCCCTCCTTTCTGATTGCACTGACCCCTCACCAGCTGGGAGGAAAATGGGGGGGTTCTGCCAAAAAGCATCAAATTAGAATTTTTTTTTTAAAACTATTGTCTAAATTTCCCATTTTGGGCCAAGAGGAACCTGCCAGCCAGCTGCCTCATTTCATGCTATGGTGCTGCCATGGCTTGGTGGCTGTCAGGGTTGGGGGCCACCCTGTCCCCTGAGGTGGCTGCACCAGAGCCGGTGCCTGGCTCAGCTCTCTGGGGGTCAAGGTGGGCATGGGAGCAGCCATGGGGGGCTGACATCCTTCTCTCCTCCTAGAGCAAGAGGCAGAGGTAGAGGCAGAGGACCGTGACCTGGCTGGGCAGGGGAGCTTCAAGCTGGAGGGCTCGTGGCTGAAGCTGCGCCAGTTCCATGGGCTGATTGTCAAACGCTTCCACTGCGCCAAGCGCAACACCAAGGCCCTCTTCTCACAGATCCTCCTGCCTGCCTTCTTCGTCTGCGTGGCCATGACAGTGGCGCTCTCCGTGCCCGAAATAGGTGCGTGCAAGCCACCCACCCACACGCTGGGAGCTACTAGTGACCCTTTCTGCCTGCCCTAGTGTGGCCAGTGGGGACACTCTCTTGGAGGAGGATGAGGATAAGGCTTGCAGGCGCTCAGCCAGTCTGCCTGTGCATGGCAGTGCACTGGGTGCCAGCGGGTTCCTGTCATTGTCCCCACAGGTGACCTGCCTCCTCTCATCCTCTCGCCATCGCAGTACCACAACTACACCCAGCCCAAGGGCAACTTCATTCCTTACGCCAATGAGGAGCGGCGTGAGTACCGGTGAGAGCTGCCTCTTGCAGGTGACCAGCATCCCGTGCCCTGTCCCCATCCCCATCCCTGTCTTCTCCATCCCTGGAACTGCAATGGAGGGCAGCAGGGAGGGCAGCCTGCAGTGGGGCTAGCACTGGGGCTGGCTCAGGCTTGGAGCAGAGCCTGGCCAGTGCCATGTCCCCACACAGAAAGCCTCCATCCTCCTCAGGGTGTCTCTGGGAGAGGAGATGGCCCTGGCACTGGCTCTGATCAGCAGCTCAGCTCATGCCAGGCATGGACTGTGGATGCCCATTCAGTCATTCAGTCATGCCCACTCAGCCATGATAAGTGCCAAGGCCTCAGGGAGGTCCCAGCAGAAGATGGCCAAGGTGGTCAGACCCGTGTCTCCTGCTCCTTGCTCCTCCTCACCTGCTCCTCTCCCTGCAGCATCAGGCTGTCTCCCGACGCCAGCCCCCAGCAGCTGGTGAACACCTTCCACCTGCCCTCCGGCGTGGGGGCCACCTGCGTGCTCAAGATAGCCTTCAACAACACACTGGACCAGCCCATGCAGACCCTCAACCTCAACAGCAACGAGTCCAAGATGCTGGCAGCCAAGTACTTTGATGCCATGTGCATTGACTCCTTTACCCAGGGCCTGCCACTCTCCAACTTTGTGCCACCGCCTCCATCCCCAGCTCCCTCCGACTACCCCATCTCAATGGATGAGGACCTGCTCCGTGCCTGGAACTCCACGACCTTCTCCTCTGCTGTCAAAGGTATCACCTCTACTTGGTGCCTGAGTCTGTCCGAGCCTGGGATTCGTCTCCAGCAGGGAGATGATATGCTTCCCCCACAGAAGCAACTCCAGGGACCCCTGGAACTGCCTGTCACTTTGGCCTGGCCACAGCAGAGCATTGCATTGCTGGGATAAACTTCTGGCGCGGAGCCAGTGCTGGCCCTGGAGCACCGCTCCCTGTTCAGCCCTGGCAGTGCTGGTGGAGCTCCCTGGGATGGCGACACCATCGAGAGCCCTGTGGCCAGCCTTGTGTCACCCTCACTGGGCTGCGGTCCCCAGCCATTGTCTTCTCCAGCCACACTTCATGCCCCCTCTTTGAACCATTTCTGTCCCACCAAAGCTTTTCCCCACGTCCATCTCTTGGTCCCTCTCAGTCACCAGGACAGAAAATCCCTCTTGTAGACTGGGCTCTGGCTGTGGGGCAGAGCACTCCCTCCCTGCCCGGCCTGAGGCCCCTCGGCTCAGCCTCTTGCCCCCATGTTGTCCCCAGCAGCTGGGGCAGGCAGGAGCCTGGCTGTGAGCTGCCTTCTCTGCTCCTCAGAGACCGTGACCTCAGCCCCTGCCCTGCCCCGCATCGTCCACGAGCCCATCAAGTGCACGTGCTCCATGCAGGGAACTGGCTTCTCCTGCCCCAGCGGTGTGGGGGGCCACCCCCCACAGATGAAGGTGGTGACGGGGGACATCCTGGCAGACATCACAGGGCGCAACGTCTCTGAGTATCTGCTCTACACCTCGGACCGCTTCCGGCTGCACAGGCAAGGGGGGGAGGCTGGGAGGGTCTGCCCTGTGCTGTAGAGCTGGGGGGACTTTGGGGACACCTGCCCAGGGTGTTGACAGGAGCCAGGAGCATGCTCGAGCATGAGGTGGGGGACAGCGGTCACAGCTTCTTGGCGGTGCCTTGTCCCACAGGTACGGGGCACTCACCTTTGGCAACGTCCAGAAATCCATTCCGGCCTCCTTCGGGGCCAGGGCTCCTGCTACTGTGCGCAAGATTGCTGTCCGGAGAACGGCCCAGGTGGGACTGCGCTGTGCCCCGCGGCAGCTGGGAAGATCGGTGGGCAGCGGCAGCCATGGCCCGGGTGGGGTGGAGAAGAGGGCAGGCGGTGCACCGCAGGGATCCCTCGCCCACTGCTCTGCAGCAGTGCTCTCAACCGAGGAATCTGGTGCGGCTCTTGCCCCATGGGGTGCTTTGCAGCTCCCACGCCAGAGGGTCTGGCCCAGCATGGTCAGCAGTGGCCTACTTTCCCCATAGCTGAGAGCACAGGACCCTGTGGCTGTCCCATCCCATCCCATCCCTCCCTTCCAGTACATCTGCCATGGGCCCAGCTCTCTTGCTGCCTCCCACTACTCTTCTCTGCTCCTCCAGGTCTTCTACAACAACAAGGGCTACCACAGCATGCCCACCTACCTCAATGCTCTCAACAACGCTATCCTGCGAGCCAACTTGCCCAAGAGCAAAGGCAACCCTGCTGCCTACGGTGAGGACCTGGAGGCATTTAAGAGCAGAAATACAGAAGAGCTTTAGGGCATGGTCCAACCCGGCTCTAAAGTGCAATGTCCCCCCATGGACCAAGCAGGCTAGTGTCCAGTTGGGGCAGAGGGTCACACACCTTGGCTATGAGATCTGGGATAGGCAAATCTCCCTGAGATCTGGGCTAGGGCAGAACGTCCCAAAGTGCTGCCTGAAGGCACCTGGGCTTGCAATGTGTCCAAGGATTCTCTCTGCCAGCTGGTGAGGGAGGGCTTGTCCTCAAGGTGCTTGGTTGCTTCAGACAGCTCAGCTCCTGTCGAGCTGCAGGGAGGAAACCTGTTCTCCTGCTCAGAGCCAGGACCAGGCAGGCTGGGGGCAAGATTTTCTGCCCTGAGCCAGCTTTCATGCTCCTGTGTTTCTTCTTGGGCCTTTCCACAGGCATCACGGTCACCAACCACCCCATGAATAAGACAAGTGCCAGCCTGTCCCTGGATTATCTGTAGGTCCGGGGAGCGGGTTTGAGGGAGGTTGGCCATCGCGTGGGAGGGAGGGAGCTCCTCACCGCTGTTCGCAGGGGAATGCCAAGGCCTCTGCCCTGCAGACTGCATGGGTGGGGACTGGGTGGTGGTGATGTGGGGGTCCCTGTGCCATGTGCCCTGTGCATAGTGGCTGTCCCACACCAGGGCGGGTGACCCTTCCCTGGGCAGTTGAGGGTGACAGGGTCCCTGCTCTCCTCCTTGCTTCCTGTGCAGCCTGCAAGGCACAGACGTGGTGATTGCCATCTTCATCATTGTGGCCATGTCCTTCGTGCCAGCCAGCTTTGTTGTGTTCCTGGTGTCCGAAAAGGCCACCAAGGCCAAACACCTGCAGTTCGTGAGTGGCTGCGACCCTGTCATCTATTGGTTGGCCAACTACGTGTGGGACATGGTGAGTAGGGTGCATGGCCCCACGAGCCGAGCCCCCAGAGCCAGGTGTGTGCATGGGCAGTCATAGAAGTTTCTGTCTTCTCCAGCTGAACTACCTGGTGCCGGCCACGTGCTGCATCATCATCCTGTTCGTGTTCGATCTCCCGGCGTACACCTCTCCCACCAACTTCCCCGCTGTCCTCTCCCTCTTCCTGCTCTACGGGTTTGTTGCTCAGAGTGTTGGTCAGGATGCAGTCATGGCTACGCGGGCAGGATCTGGCCTCTGGGCTGCCCATCTGGCTGATGTTCTGCAGCTTCTGTAGCTTGTGGGCTGCAAGGACTGGGGTGGGAGAGCCTGGGGAGGATGGGGCTGGGAGATGGGTGATCCCAAGGCTCAACAGCTGGTGCTGCTCAGTTCCACTCCTGCCATGCTGACATGTGCTTCTGCCACTTTCCTTCACAGCTGGTCCATCACCCCCATCATGTACCCTGCCTCCTTCTGGTTTGAGGTGCCCAGCTCTGCCTATGTCTTTCTCATCGTCATCAACCTCTTCATTGGCATCACGGCCACCGTCGCCACGTTCCTGCTGCAGCTCTTTGAGCACGACAAGGTATGGGGTTCACAGCTCTGCCTGGGGCCACCAGGAAGGGAAAAACTGCCATTGGGTCATGGGATGGCACAGGCTAGGAGGGACCTCAGGAGGTTTCTGCTCCAAACCCCTGCTCCCAGCAGAGTCAGCTATGAGACCTGACTGGGCTGTATCTTGGTGGGGATCCTACCATGTGCTCATGGTCCTCAGGGGTGTTTCTGATGTTTGTGTCCTCTCTGCCTGTCCCCACAGGATCTGAAGGTGGTGAACAGCTACCTGAAGAGCTGCTTCCTTGTATTCCCTAACTACAACCTGGGCCATGGCTTGATGGAGATGGCCTACAACGAGTACATCAACGAATACTATGCCAAGATTGGTATGGCTGCTCATTCCCTCCTTCCCTTGCTCAAGCACATGTGGGGCTGGGGGGACCATGGTGCTGGCACATCCCCTCTGCCTGCCCTGTGGGGTTTCTTGAGGCCCGGAGTAACCTGAAGCAAAAAGCCAGGGGACGTGAACTAGACTGGGGTGCAGGAAGAGACACGGTTGAGGGTCAGCCGTGGCATGGTGCTGGTGATGCTGAAAACAGTTCCTTGGGCCATCTTGAATAGCAGCCCCCCTAGGAAGAGTAGGTTGTGAGCCCTGGCAGAGTTGTGCATTTCTGCTGCTGTTGCACGCTGCCTGTGGTGGAGCCATGATAGGGCTGTGGTGGGCTATGGTGGGGCCATGCTGTTTTAAGAGGGATGGGGACGGCAAGGACTCTTTCCTTCCCGACATGGTCTCTTGCTTGCAGGGCTGCACTGCCCAGCCAAAATGAGCCTTTTGCTACTCGCAGCTTCAGTTTGGCCTCAAAAAGCTCTTTCTCCTCTGCTTTTCAAGCAGCTTCGCAGGTGCTGCAGGCATCATGAGGGGCAATTTTGGGGCAGGATCTGACAAATCCATCCAATATCCACTCTCACTTGGGTTGATTCACCCTACTGAGCTTGAAAAGTTTAAAGACGATTCCATTCACAGCACGTGTGCTGTTGAAAAACCTTGTTGTGACCAGCCCTGGTGCCAGCAGCACTGACCAGCCCAGGCAGCTGCAGCAGGCGAGGGGACATGGGAGCAGGACAGCGTCACTGTAACAGGCCTGCTCAAGACGTACGACCGGGTTCTCCCTATGGGAAGGTGTCCAGTTGCTCTCTCCTCTTCTTCCCACTCAGGGCAGTTCGATAAAATGAAATCGCCCTTCGAATGGGACATCGTGACACGAGGGCTCGTTGCCATGACAATTGAAGGCTTTGTCGGCTTCTTTATCACCATCATGTGCCAGTACAACTTCTTCCGGAAGCCCCAGTGAGTGCAGCCGGGGAGCGGGGTTAGGCTGGGAGAGGCTGGCTGTGGGGAAGAGCTTTGCCACCGGGAGCCCTTAGCTGCCCCTCCGGTGGATGCGAGCTGGGGAGCTTCTCGTCCTGGGCGGGGATGCGGGCGGGCCGCTCCCGTGCCTGCATCCTCACCCTGCCCCATGTGCCCTCCTGCAGGCGGCTTCCTGTCTCCACCAAACCCATCGAGGATGACATCGATGTGGCCAATGAGCGGCACCGTGTCCTGCGTGGCGACGCCGACAACGACATGCTGAAGATTGAAAACCTCACCAAGGTGCAGCAGCAGCAGGATAGTGGTGGTGGGGGATGCTGGGGGATGCTCCATGGCTACAAGCAGACACCTTGGAGACGTCCCGTCTGAGGAATGTGGGTTGGGGCTGGGGGTCCAGGCACCTCCCGGTGGGCTGAGCTCCCTGCTTCCTGCCCCACCAGGTGTACAAGTCCCGCAAGATCGGGCGCATCCTGGCTGTGGACCGGCTGTGCGTGGGCGTGCGACCTGGGGAGTGCTTCGGGCTGCTGGGTGTCAATGGCGCGGGCAAGACGACCACCTTCAAGATGCTGACGGGGGATGAGAGCACCACGGGCGGAGAGGCCTTCGTTAACGGGCACAGGTCAGGGGGCACGGGCTGGGTGGGAGGTGGGGACTGCTTGCTGTCCTGGGGACAGAATGGGGTCTGCTTGGGGGTCTCCCAGGATAAAGCAGTGAGAGTCTGCCCATGTGGCTCCATGGGACCCTGCAGCCCTGTGTCCTGCTGTCCTGACCATCATCTGAGGGGTGGCGAGTGACACCGGCTCTTGGCCAAGGCTGCCCATTGTGGGTTACCTGGTAGAAGATACTCCAGTATAAAGGCGTGTGAAAGGGTGGTGAGCAACAGGGTGCTCCTGAAAAGCGATTCCCTCTCCCCACACCCACTCTGTCCTCTCCTGCAGCATCCTGAAGGAGCTCCTGCAGGTCCAGCAGAGCCTGGGCTACTGCCCCCAATTCGACGCACTGTTTGATGAGCTGACGGCCCAGGAGCACCTGGAGCTCTACACTCGCCTGCGTGGCATCCCCTGGAAGGACGAGGAGCGGGTAGGGCTCTGGGCGAGTGATGGCCAGTGTCCATGGGCTGGTACTGTGCCATGGGAATGGCATCTCACCAGGCACTAGTGGGGACCTGAGCCAGTGCTTCTACCCCCACGGCAGTGCCGCCCCAGTTGTGCACCCACACCGTGTGCTAGGTCCAGGCACACGCACTTCCAGGCCCCCACTGACGCTCACGGCCATGCCAGGGACTGCTGTGGGGCTCCCCTGACTGGCACATTGCTTGTGGTCCCCTTGGCAGCTGGCCTGTGCCGTGGAGCCCAACCGCTTGCCCACTGGCTGGCGCCCGCCCTCCCACCCCCGTGGCCTGTGGCGTTTTTTGTGGCCTTGGCAGGGTGACAGCAGCCCGCCATGCCTTGCAGGTGGTCAAGTGGGCACTGAAAAAGCTGGAGCTGACCAAGTACGCTGACAAGCCCGCCAGTACCTATAGCGGAGGCAACAAGAGGAAGTTGTCCACAGCCATCGCGCTGATTGGATACCCGGCCTTCATCTTCCTGGTGTGTCTTGGGCTTCAGCACCCTGCCTGCGGGGTCCTCCTCCCACCCTCCGTGTCCCTGGGGCTGCTGTTGGACTATGATGGAGAAATGACTCTGTGTGGGGGGCTGTCTGCCCCCGGCTGTGCCATGAGTGTCCTGGGGCGTGGGATGGTGTCCTGAGCCAGGCTCAGGACAGGAAGGGGATGGCAGGGTCCCACCAGGGCTGTCTAAGGGTGTTGTCTGTCCCACAGGATGAGCCCACCACGGGGATGGACCCCAAGGCACGGCGCTTCCTGTGGAACCTCATCCTGGATGTCATCAAAACGGGTCGCTCCGTGGTGCTCACATCCCACAGGTCCAGAGGGGCTTCTGGCTGCACCCGCAATGCCTCTGGGCACCTGGGGTGCTGCACGGGTGGGAGGGGGCTCTTTGGTCCCTGGGGGATGGCATCCGGCAGGGGCATGGGGAGCAGAGGGAACCCAGGACATCCTCTCTTGCCTTCTCCCATTCCTGGTGGTGGAGCCATGGCACCCAGGTGATGGCCGGGGGAGTTCAGCTCCCTGCCTGCCCCAGCTGCAGCCCCTGGCACTGTCACCCCGTGCCACCCTGCTGAAGCCTGCTGTGTCTCCCCAGCATGGAGGAGTGCGAGGCGCTCTGCACCCGCCTGGCCATCATGGTGAATGGGCGGCTCAAGTGTCTCGGCAGCATCCAGCACCTGAAGAACAGGTAAGAGCCTGGTGGGAGTCCAGCACCCTGTGTGCACTGTGGGGCGGGAGGGGGCCGGAACCCCACTGCAGGGTGACGGTGTGGCACCTGCAGCGAGATGTCAGCCCTTCATGTGGGTGCTGCTTTGGAGGGTGGGCAGGGCATGGGCTTGGTCGACTGTCCTGGCACCGTCCTGGTGAGTGCAGCAGCTGCCAGAGAGTATCGTCCCTTTCCGTGGGGTCGTTCCTTCCCTGCAGAGGTGCAGGGTGGGGGGCAGGTCCTCACGGGGTTCCTTGTCCCTGCACAGGTTTGGAGATGGCTACATGATCACGGTGCGCACCAAGTCCAGCCTCAATGTCAAGGAGGTGGTGAGGTTCTTCAACCGCAACTTCCCCGAGGCTGTCCTCAAGGTGAGCTCCCTTGGGGCAGGGGTGCCTTGCCTTGCCAGCCCCTGCCTCAGGGTGCAAGCAGCCTTCATTCCACAAGGAACACCTCTGTGGGACCCCCAGAGGGTGACAGGAGGGAGTCTGGGAGTGAGGGCTTGGGTGTCACCTTTGTGTCCCCTCCAGGAGCGGCATCACACCAAGGCCCAGTACCAGCTGAAGTCGGACCAGATCTCACTGGCACAGGTCTTCAGCAAGATGGAGCAGGTGGTGGATGTGCTGGGCATCGAAGACTACTCTGTCAGCCAGACCACACTGGACAACGTGAGACTGGGGATGGCACAGGCAGCTGGGTGCTTGTCCCTAGGGAGGGTGGCTGTGCCCGGGGAGGGGTGGCTGCGCCGAAGTGCCTGGCAGAAACCACCTTTGGGATGGGAGGTGGAGCTAGGTTTTTTTTTGGGGTGGGGCCCAGGGGGCCGGCCGCAGCTCAGTGGGATGCGCTGGGGCCCATCTTCAGATGGCAGGCAAGGGGCAGCCAGAGGGTGGAGGAGCTTGTGGGCATCCCTCGCAGCCTCCTGCCCCCTCCAGGTGTTTGTGAATTTTGCCAAGAAGCAAAGCGATAACCTGGAGCAGCAGGAGACGAGCCCCAGCTGCACACTGCAGTCGCCCCTGGAGCGTGTGCTGAGCCTGCTGCGCCCCCGGGCTGCCCCCACGGAGCTGCGGGCCCTTGTGGTAGAGGAGCAGGAGGACCTGGAGACTGATGATGAAGGCCTCATCAGCTTCGAGGAGGAGAGGGTGAGACGTTGTCCCCAGATCTAGGTGTCCCTGGTCCCAGCTGTGTCCCGGCCGTGGGGCACTGGGGCCGGGTGCTGCAGCAGTGGGTCTCATCCAGGGAAGGGGACATGGTGGGTCCAGGCATGGACCAGAGAAGGCTCCTGGGAGGGGTGGCTGCTCCGCACCCCAGGCTGGATCCTGGCTTCAGCAGCACTGGATGTGCTGGTCAGAGCAGGCAGCCCCTGCCCAGCCCCTGAGCCCTGCTTGTCTCTGTGCCTGCAGGCTCAGCTCTCGTTCAACACGGACACGCTGTGCTGAGACCCCTGGGAGCGGCCACATCTCCTGGCTGTGAAGCCACCAAACCAACCCTTTTGGCTTTTCCCCCCCCCTTCCCGCTGCCGCGGCTGGAGGCGCATGCCAGGGAGGACACGGTGGGTGTGGCGCTGGCCTGGACGGACCCCGTGAGCCACTCACTGCCCTCCAGGTGGCCTTTGGCTGCTTCAGCTCTGGGGCAGTGCCACTGCGTGGTGCCGGGGGCCACCATCCTCGGCCAGCTTGCCCAGCCAGTGCGTGACAATGGACAGAGACTGCGAAGAGAAGGACGTGGCTTGATGGCAGTGCCTGACGGCCCC